AAGGCAGCCTCTCCAAATTACCCTGTGATGAAGGTGACCTCTCAACACCGAGCACAGGGAAAAGGGGCTGTTTTCCTAATATGCTTCTTCCTTGGCAGTTGAAGGTTTTTTCCGTGTAGGCGATGAGAGCCGTCTCTTCTTGCTCAATGAACAAAAATAGCAGTTTTTCAGAATAATGGCAAGAGCAGCACCCTGCCTTCCCCCCACCCCAGCCTCTCAGGARCCCTCCACAGCAGCACTTGGCCTTGCAGCCTCCTGAGGCAGCAACACTCTGCACACTTCACATTAAAACCTTATTTACTGCAGTTTTACTCACTGCTGGTAACCACCAGTGGCTTGACTTTGTATAAAATACAGTTGTAGCAACTATTTTAATTTGAGTGCACAACTCCCACATTGTCTGTCATTTTAAGAGARGCTGGTCAGGGGAGATGAGGAGCAAATGGCTTGTGGTTTGATCAGATGTGTTTTGATGGCTCACCAGTTTGTCACTGCCAGCCAGTGGAAGTGAGGAAGGAGTTTGTGGGAATTACCACTTTGCAAATGGGAGTTGTAGATATTCTGCAGTTGAAGTGGTGCCGYCCAAATGACTTGCTAGGGGCTGTTTTGGTGCACAGTAACAGCATTACTGCTCAAGAACTGTTACTGTTTTAACAAGGAAGCAATTGAAGCCACTGCAGCCCCTTTGAAGTCTTATTTTTAGATTACAATAAGCAAGATTCTGATTAATTTAGCAGCAGGGCATCAGTGGCTATTAACAGCTTAACTCGAAGCCCTGGTAGATTGATAAAGAGCTAAATAGCCCCTGAATCATATATTAACAGTCTGGCCATGCTATATAATTGAGGCTCATGTTGGGTAAGTGTCAGCATGGTTGATAGGCAACACAACAGCAGAAGCTATTTGTCTYTTAAATGGGCACTTAAATTATTCAGTGCAGTAGCTGATAGCCATCAGTACATCTGAGCCACAGTCCAGTTATTCTAGATGTGTGTGCACRAGCTCTAATTAGTTCAAGTACAGCACTGAGCTCTCCTTGGGCAATCTCACCTGTCTCTAGAAGCTTCTCAGGTGGGGTCTCCAGCCCATGATGAGATCCCCCTGCTGTGGCCCAAGCATTAGGGATGCAGGAATAAACTGGGATGCAGATGCCTTGGAGTTGGTAACCAAACCAACAGCTGAGCAAAGATTTAATGTAGCATCTAAGCCACCCATGTTAGATGTAGTCTTACCATCCCAAACCATGAGAGAAGGTAAAAGCTGCAATGCTAACTAGTAGCCTTTTTTTTTATTTTCTTAAGTCTTCTGTGGTTACAGGAAATTTGAGCAATTCCCCTGTGTATGTGTGTAATCTAACTAGTTTTATATACTGTGGGACATTCTAGCCAAATAGGACTGAAAGCTTATTAAATGTGCAGAAAGAATTGGTAGCCACTCAGTTTCTCCTCCAGTTCCTTCTTATTGCAGCATTAGCAATTCTGAGGTAGCCACACAATGGAYRTAACTCAAATTAATTAGCTAAATTGGCACCTAATGGCAATAAGATTTCATGCCACTTAATATTTCAGTGCAAACGTGACAGTCAAGCAAAYRTATTTGAATATGATTGGTTCRTCTTCTCYRGTGGAGTATCTTATCTTGTGTTTGRGYTGAATACAGCTCTCATTGTGCTCAATTAATTCTACCATTAGCAGTGGGMTGACCTGCTATTAGCTCTGATAAAATGTACAGTCATCCCCTTCACTGAMGACCATCCTGTGGTAAGGATGTTGAAATGCCATTTAAAGCGGGAAGGAGGACACACACACTTTGCTTTTGTACATAATTAAGCCACGCTAATGATGGGAGACTTAATTACAGTTGGAGTTTATCAGCAGAGAGCCCCAGCGGTGGCTCACAGGCTGTGATGGTGCTGCTGGCCTTTGCACACACGAGCCTGAGCAGTTGTTCCAGGCTTTGGGTGGAAGAAGCTCATTATTCCCAGTGTCCTGTGCCTGGGAAAAGTTAAAGTTCGCTTCTGCACCTCTTGGCTTTCCTTTCTTCCCCCCTTTCTCGCCGCCCGCCCTATCCCCCCACCCTCCTCRTGAAGCAGCCCTTCTGGCTTTGTTGTAAGTGTGGTTTGTAATCATTGTACACATCCCAGATGGTTCATGAAAACTCTTTGAAATGCCATCTGCCAGGCGTGTGTCCAGCCGGCAGCCTGTCATTCTGCTACAAGAAAAACGGAGGCGGGTTTTCCCTTCCCCCTGCCTTCCTGAATCGCATTCAGTAACACTTGCTCAGATGTGGAGCAGGATAACAGCCGGAGCATCTGCAAGCAATCTCTGCTCCAGACAGCAACATGGAAAGTTGTTGGGTTTTTCGCCCTCGCCCAGATAAGATATCCCAGCCAGTGCAGCTTTTATTTTCCCTGGGTTTGCTGCTGAGGACCAGCTGAGGTGACAAATGTTATCTCTGTGTTGCAATGTTTTCCTTTTCTGCGGCGACTTTTCCTAATGCCTTCCGCGTGCGTCGCAGGCAATCGCGCTGATAGCAGGCACAGCTGCGATTTTTCGGCTCGAACATATTCAGGAAATTAAGAACACTGAGATGAAACAAATAGATCCATTAAAATGGCTCAGAGGAATTATGGCAGAGATATAATTGTCATGTCAAATAGGCAGCCAGCACTAGTAAACTGCTGACTGCGATTTCACCGCTATAAAAATTCAGGAGGAAGAAGAAAATGATTAATAAATACTCTCTGTGGGAAGATACAGATAAAGGAAAGAAGATACAGATAAAAGTAAGAAGAGGCTTTAAAAGATAAGGTGAAAGCAGTCCTGAAGTTCCCTGATCTTTGTGTCTCATCAATATGGGTTATTGGTTATTGGGAAAACACACGTCCCGATCTTTGTCATTCGGCTCACGTGCCCCATGGCTGGGGGTGACGTTTGACTGATTGATGAGCACTGCAGAGTCTAATTCTCACTTCCATTGTGCTCCGGTCATGGGACAGCTACAGCACTTCACTGGTCACAGTTATTGTTGTGGCTTTTCATCCTTGTGGCTTCCCTCTCACGAGCCAGGTTTTGGGAAAGGTGGAATGCCTGCGATGCCCAGGGAGGGGATATTGGAYCTGGGCTGTTGCCTTTCATCCCAGCTGCTGGGTGTGTGCTCCGTGCTCCCTGTGTGCCAGGGAGGCACCTGAGTGAGCTTCTCTGCCTGCCTTTGSATGGAGGGGAGGAGCACATGGAGCAGCTCCAGCATTTCTCTGGACTGGATCTGTGAAACACAATCGTCTTCTGTTRCAATCTACCTGGTAAACGTTGTTGTAGCCTTACTGTAAGGGTTCAAAAATACAAAGAATGCAAGATTGAATCCGTTCCAAATAGGAAAAAGTAATTCTGCTAGCAGGGGTGGAGATATCCATCACTATTTCCATCCCCTTTCTTACTTTTTCTCCCTCCTTCACTCATTCAGCTCCAAGAGGAGTAATGATGCAAAAGAGCACAGGAATTTATAGACTCTCTGAAGGCTGGTGGTAAATAATAAAAAAGAGTTTCTATTTTGAAAGAAGAAATGGAGGATGTTAGAGAAAGTGGGTGTCTATCAAGGAAATTAATCTAGTGATAGTCTTTCAAGGGTGTCACTCTGTCAAGACTGACCTCTTGAACAATCTCTTAGATGAATAGGAGATAAGCAGACTTTCCGCTTTCCTGGCACTTGAGGAAAACATTTGCCAGATGCAGGCATGGTAAATTTATGCTCTTTCAACTTCTGAGAGCTGGAATCTTCCCAATTAGTTTTCAGAAGCTCAGCTTCTTYATTCTTTCTTCTGTCCTTTTATAAAGGGTTTAAGAAATTGTATGCACTGGGAAGACACTGCCCAGGGGCCAGAAGAGAAGTGAGAAATTATGCTTTGTTAAATGTTAGGTATGGTTTCCACATCTCAGAAGTTATTCCCAAACCAGCAGACTGGTTTCAGCCTTCAGACACCTCCAACTCTCTAACTCTGCTCTTTCTTCCAAAATTCAGTTTCCTGTGCCATCTGTAAAWCTGTCATTTATATTTAATCTCAGATGTACAGAACCCAGTCACTTCCCAGGCTCCAGAGTCATGGAAAATAAAGGCTATTGAACAGAAATTGATCCTTATCAATGAAGCTGTGCTCAGTGACCTAAAATGCAGCATCCTAAGCCATCTTAGGAAAAAAGTAATGAAATGACTCATCTTACACTGTGCTTCAGAGTACTGTAAATTGATCAGAAAGGAGAAGAGTTTCAGAGCTGGCAGAATGGCGGTGATCAGAACCCGGTTCTCCATGGGTGCTATTGAAATTGTCAAGTGCTGGAGAGAGATTCAGTGTGACTTACTACTTTAAGTAATGGAATGATCTTGTAGGTGAGGTTCTGTGAGAAGAGTTGGCAGGTTGTGTCTTTGGTGAGTATGTGTGAACAGCGCATCAAAACTGTCTCACAGTACTTTTTAATGCCAAATAAAAAATAGTAGCATAAATAGAGACAAAACACTTAAGAAGAAACAAGAGAGAAATTGTGTTTATGATGTGAAAGAACATTTGGGGAGATAGTGGTACAGGAAATAGTGGAACCTGGAAAGCAGTTTCCTTATCTGAGAATACAGATTGCGATTTTAGTGAAGCTGAAGTGTGAGAGACAATGCTAACAGCAGGGAGGTAATTGCTGGCATATTCCCAGCTACCAAACTTTTCCAGCTGTGTTTCTGCACGTGGTGTGAGAGATTCCTTGCCAGAGTCTTTCTGAGAGTACAAAAAACATTGTCCTTTGGTTGTTTTGTTCCAGTTGGTTCTGCCAGTTCAGCTTGAGATCTATGTCTTGTTCTTCCATGGGTTCCTAACTTCTAACTGAACTCTGTCAATGTTTGTAGCTCACAGARCTGTGTTTTACAGATCCTGTTGTATCATTGTGGAAATTTGTTATTTTCCCTTTTAACACTTGCTAAGAAAACAACTCTATTAATGTTCTAATTCTTCCTTCCAGGCACAACCCGCCCTCCAAGAGAAGGAGAAGTGCCTGGTGTGGACTATAACTTTCTGACTGTGGAGGAGTTTCTGGAGTTGGAGAGAAGTGGGACCCTTCTGGAAGTAGGAACTTATGAAGGTATGGAGCCACAGGGAGTGAAAAAGCACCTCAGATACCCATGGTGGGACAGCACATTTGCATCAGCATTGCCTGAGTTAGGACCTTGCTTTCCATCCTAGTGCTCTGTTTCCCTTTGCTCTGTAACCTGACAGAGAATTCCAATTTTGCTGTGTGTTGGCTGCTTGAAAAGATTAACATYAGTAGGCCAGGAAAATCCAATATGTAATCCAGTAACAGAGTACTGGGGCAGTCTGCATCTATTCTTTGTGTCCACTCTGGCTCATCTCCTTGTTCACTTTCTCTTCTCTTTTGCTTTTTCTTTTTCCCTCCATCTTCCCTAAATACCCTTCCTTCATCACCCAGTTGTGTGTCACTATGCAGCTACATGATGCACTGCTTTTTTTTTTTCCTTCTTTTATTCCTGGGTAATTGCTTTTAAGTTAGGTCATTGTGTTGATCATTTTTTGCAGCACAACTTTGCAAACATCAGCACTGAGACAGCCAAGGGGCACTGAAATGTCACCAGAGGGAGAGGAGGAAAAAGCTCCAGAGAAATGCAAGGCAAATTGGCCATTTTTAGGTACACAATAGGATTTGTGTAACTAAWCCTGCAATCTATAGCTCCTTTAAATTGAAAACTCCTTTTGGAGTAGGTTGTTGTGTTAGGTTTTTTTTTCCTTCCTCTGAAGAACATTCAAATGTGCCTCTTGACAAGACAATGAAAAGAAATACTTTGCAGGTTTGAAAGKCCTTCCAATGTACCTCAGCTCAGTCATTTCATATTTCCATTTGAARGAAGTTAAATGGATCTTTCTGTAAATATGGGAGATTGAAAATGCCTTATTCTTGCAGCCTTATTCTAATTATTTTTTATAATAAGAAATATGGAATACATTTAATAATGCAAACTACACACAAATAGCCAAAAAGTCTTTGAATAGTTAGTCATCAAACATGAACAGAAAAGATTGTGGCATGTGGTTTTGTTTTCAGAGTCTGAAGAAAGAGTCCTGAAATTCTGTTTGTGTAGTTCTTTCAAAACTCCCTCCTAAGGGCACCTTTAAACCTTGTGCTCATTCCCACTGCAGACAATTGCAGTGTCAAACCTGGTTTGCATGAAGATGCTAAGTGTGTAATTTGGTTTCACTCTTCCACCTCTCTGAGCTGATTAGCTCCATCAGCACCAATGCAAACGTTCCAGCAACAGCTCTTCTCCAAAATGAGCTTTTTCCTCTCCGTGTTTCTAATTATAACACCAAATTAGTTTTCTTTGTCATGGTGCTTGAAATAGATCAGCTGAAAGGCCTCACCATTGCTTCCTGATCTGTTTGTTCTGGTGACCTTTCCACTTGGAAAGACAAAATGGGTAACTGTCTGTAAGCTGGCTCCTGGGACAYGCTGGGAATTAGTTCTCAGGAAATGCTGTATCCATCTGGGGCAGTTATAACATGGTCATTCCATTGCTTATGTGATTATATGCAGCAGCAGCTCAACTGTTGAGGTTTCATGGCTTACTCTTTTCAGTTGCTGAAGATGAGGTTGATTTCTCATAAGTCTAATGTGTATTTCATTTCTGTGAGCCTGAACTTTAAAGGAATAATTTGTCAGAAGTGCTGAGAAGYTTCTTTCCCCATYGACATCARYGATGCTGGTGCATTGTGGTTCTGGAGTGCTGGCCCATGGAAGGAAAAATCAATGAAAATAAAGCAAATAATGATGATGCATGTGTGCACATATGCATCAAGACACATTACTATTTGATTGTAATGTGAAATAAATAGAGTGCATTTTTCACTTAYGGCTTCAAGAAATTATTTTGCCGCCTTCCGAGATTTCTTTAATGGCTTTGTTGTGCCTTTTTTTGGAAATCTTATTTTACAGCTGTATTGATCAAGACTGTGTTGATCTTGATTAGATCTTGGAAGATGGGGTGATTCAGACTTGATGCTGCAATTGCAAACAATTCTGTCTATTAAAAAAAAAAAACAAACCTGCCAAAAAACGCAGACCACAAAGCAAGGTAGACTTTTAATGGCAAAGTCTCTGCTATTGTCCAGCTTTACAGTATTAGAGTATTTTTATTACCATTTGTTTCATGCCACATTTTGCTGTCACTTGCTTTTTTTTTGTAATAAGTGTTCCACCATGATAAATTTGACTGTAATTTTGACCAGTGATTGCTTATTCTAAACCAGGGAAATAAAATCCAACAAAAGGAAATAATATCTTCTCATTCTACCTGTTGTGCTGAGTAGAAATTGGAACAATTGCAGAGACAGGTCTGCTTGTGATTTAATGCTGTCAGGTGATTTAGAGAAAGAAGGAAGGGGAATGCTRTGAAATGGACAGTAGRGATGAGGAATKGGGAAATTTCTGTGTKMCAGGCAGCCACAAGCTCATGTGGCWCAAGCAGGYTGGTGGTTTGGGGTCAGCGTGGTCCCAAGGACCTTTCTGAHCCTTAATTWGTAAGCATCARCAYGTGATGGTGGGAAAGATGGACATAAAACCACCTGGATACTGTCACCTGGGAAAATCCTGCAGGAAATGAGGTAATAGAAGTTGTTYAACAACAGTTACTGAAGAGAAGTTCTGGAGAGAAAGATTAGAAAACAGGGAGCTGTCAGAAGAGGGGTAATACACAGGACTTTGATTCTGATACAGWTACTATTGATTTGGAAAGAATAAAGAACAAGCAGAAGAGAACAGTTGGAAACCATAAAAAAGCAGGAGGGTGTATCAGGTTTTGAAAGGACAGCCTGGGTTTTGAAAGTGCTCTAATTGCAAAAAGAGAAAGTSCAAGCTTAACAGGACAAAAGAGGTGTTGCTGACCTCTAGAGCTCTGTAATGCCATTATTATTTCTTCTGGTGCACTGCAAATAGGTTCCTCTGGGCAGCTTTTGATTCCCACCCCAGTGAAGGCAGAGTGGGCATGGCAGATGCCTTTCTGGTCACCTCTCATCTCCCTGATRTGTTCTGCACCCAAAAGGCTTCAAAAAATGTGATCAGGTGGGAGGGGGCATTGGCAAGCCTTAATTCCTGGGGTTTTCAGTTCGGGTTTTAASATCCTGACTTTTAACCATAAAGTCCAGAAACACCTTCTTTCTTCCCCCAATGAAAGCTGTGTGTTGATCACACAAATCCAGCAAATGGAGCTGCAAGAYCTGCCCAAAGCTGCCTTGCTGCCCCAGTATTGGTGATTTTTCCCCACGTGGGTGCTGGTGAAGCTGCACACAACACACTCAAGCCAGTCAGAAATTCCCATTGACAATACTCATTAGGAAGGAAAATTCTTTTTAGGCTGCATTTCAATTCTTGTCTGGGCCTTCTGGTGGATAGGAAATCACCATAATTGTAGTCTCAKGCATTTATTGACTGCTCCTTCAGGGCATAAAATACTGATGGATGCATGGAAGTAATTGTGTAGGTTACTAATTATTTAGCAATTACTTCTGCATTTGAATTGCAGGCTCTCACAGGGACCCCAAGGGAGGGCTGTKTTGAGCACAGCCACCAGATTTTATTCCTGTTTCTTCCCCAGCTGCTGAGTGGCCCTGGGCAGATCAGGTAACTGCTCTATACTTCAGCTTACTGGCCTGGAGAATATTAAAACAACACTTACTTCTCTCTTCATTAATATTTCAGCAGATACCCTGTGCCTGCAGCTATCTGCTCTTCCAAATAGGAGGGGGAGAGAGGAAGGAACAGTGTTCTGGAGGGCTGTGCTGAATTCAGGCAGCCCTGGGGATGGGAGCTGTGCAAAGGCACATGGGGACATGAGCATGGCTAAATTTTGAACAGGGATGGCTGTGTYACCAGGGTCTGGTGAGGCTGTATTAATGAATGCCTGCCCAGCACTTAGTGATCCTCAAAAGAAAAAGTGCTGCACTTTATAACATGTGAAAGGTTATTACATTATGGAGTATTATTGTCAAGGCATCATCTTTCATTCCCAGGACAAGTGTTATGTGATTGCCAAGAGAAGTAATAAGTAATCTGCATTAGTCTCATGACTAAGATGTAATGGGGTGACTTGCTAACATTTTTAAAGTGTATAAAACTAGCTACTGCAGACAGGGTCTCCGATWGTGGTACTTAATGATTGTAATAAATTACATTAATAGTGCAGTTAGAATTTCAGCTGAAGTAGAGAGGTGTATGCAGCAACATGCTTCAAATCAAGATGCCTTTAGCCTAATTTATCTGATGTGCTGGCTCTCCTTGTGTTTCTCTGCAGCAGCCCTGCTCCCCCAGCTGCTTTAACAAAAGGAGTGGATTTTTCTTTGCTGGTGCCTTTGGAGCCTGTGGTTGTCACCAGCTCGGTCCCACCTGGAACTGAGAGCTGAGCCTGTGGCAGGCAGAGCCAGAGGGGAAGGCTGGGCCAGGAAGGGCAGCAGATGCTGGGGATGCCCGTGCAGGGGARCAACATGTTCCACTTAATGAGATCAGATCCGCTGATTATTGTCCCCAAACAGAGATTGACTCMGTGAATCATGATGGCCCCTTCAGCACTGTTATAATGTATCACGTTGAATATAAGCATCCTAATACCTGTGCACTGCAGAATGACTCCTCCTCTTTCTTTGGCTCTTGTACTTTTCTTGCTTTTTTTCTTGTTATTTTTTAAACCACTGGTAGAGGAAAAAAAGGCAACACATTGTGTATGGGCAGGATTATCAGTGTGGAGCACGAGTGCTGCTGTACTGAAGTGTCATCTGATAACAATGCTTCATTCTGCAAACAGCTGAAGTGGTACCTGAGCAACTCTTGTTCTCTAAAAGCAAATATTCAAATATCTGATAGGGGTTTAGAGTGGCTTTGAATTTCCTGTGGCATTGCTGACTGGCTTCTCTCTCTCTGCACTTTCAATGTGAGCTCTGTCAGAAGCTGTTCATTAGCAGTCGCGTGTTTTTAAACACAAACCTTGGGGGAAAAAGTTGTTCCCAAACACCTCTGTAAAAAGGAGATAYGGTGAATTAGTTGCTTTCTTCCTAAGTTAGAGTTCAACTTGTTTTAAGCCA